AGAGACTGAAGCAGCATGCACAGGGCCTGCACAGGTCTGCACCAGGTCCTCTATGTATATATCATGACTTTCAGTTTAGTATTTTTATGGGACTCCTGAGTGTGTGAACAAGTGGGTCTCTGATTTTGTGCTGCTCTTGGGGCTCTTTTCCTTCTGTTGGTTTGCCTTGTCCAACTTGGATGTTATTGCTTTTGTTTTATCTTACTATATTTATTTTGTTACGTTTTGTTGTTATCTCTTAGAAACCTATTCTTTTCTAATGAAAGACAGAAAGGGAGTTTATCCAGATGGGAGAGGTGGTGGGAAGGAATTGGGAAAAGTAGACAGGGGGAAATTATGATCAGAGTATATTGTATGAGAAAAGAATCTATGTTCAATAAAAGGGGCAAAGAAAAAATAAAATATCCCTATTTTAATATTTATCACATACTTCCCAATCTGTTCACACTACAACTTTCCATATAATCTTCTATTTCAAGTGTGCCCTTGTCCCATATGAGATCTAATTATGTTTTATAATGTTATAATCTCCCGCTTCCTGATACATATAGTTCATTTGCATTCACAGTACCCAACTCATATGTATGGACTTACTGTCACCAATATACTTTATGAGTTTCACCTTGTACTTTCTTTATTCTCCTTTTATATTCTGTGTAAAGTCTTTGTGTCTCATTTAATTACATTTTTTACAGCTTTTTATTGGTTTGAAATGGATATGCCATATTCTTTCAGTAGTTATTGTTATATTTAATAATACATATTTAAAAGCCCCAAATTAATATTTCAACTTCCCATCCAAAATTTCTAAATACTTTGAAACATTTTAATTCAAATCACCTTCATTCTACTGATGTGTTATTAGTATCCATTAATTATTTCTATGTTAACTCCTCTGATTGGATAGTGTTATTAATATGTAATTTCATGAAGTTACTTATGGACCTATGTTCAGAGTTCATCATTCCTTCTTGATTCTTAGACCATCTTTATCTTTGTCTTCCTTCCTTCCTTCCTTCCTTCCTTCCCTCCTTCCTTTCTTTCTTTCTTTCTTTCTTTCTTTCTTTTCATAAAATTTATTTTATGTGCATTGGTGTGAAGGTGTCAGATCCCCTGGAATTGGAGTTAATACAGTTGTGGCAGTGGGTGCTGGGAATTGAACCTGGGTCCTCTGGAAGAGCATCCAGTGCTCTTAACTGCTGAGCCATCTCTCCAGCCCCATATCCTTGTCTTTCAACCTTAGAATTGACTTTTGTGAGGAGTTTTGAGTAGTAAAAAATCTTTTGTGCTTTTAGAAATTGTCCTTATTTTATCTTCATTTTAGAAGGTACAAAGTCTGGATTGAAGGACTAGGGAGATCGCTCAGAGATTAAAATAACTTACTGCTCTTAGATAGGACTAGGGTTCAGTTCCCAGAACCTACATGGTAGTGATCAACCCTTAGTAACTCCAGCTCCAGAGGATTTAACCGTCTCTTCTGGCCTCAGCTGGCAATACACAAATATGGTACACATACATATACATACATACACACATACATACATACACACACATACACGCAGGCAAAATACACATATACATCAACTAAAAAACATTTTAAAATTCTGGATTGACAGCTACTTTTATTTAGAACTTTATAGACACCTCCTCTGTCAGCGTTAAGAGGTCTGTTTGTTTCTTCTTAGGTGAACTATATGCAACCCGGGGCCTGTCTTTTTACACATAGGAGCTCTAGACCCATGTTCCCTTTACCTGCTTGGGGACACATGTTCTGGTACCTGTCTTCTGGTCCTCCCTCTGCCCCCTCTCTTCAGGTAGGCATCCTAGACTTGTATTGACAACTTCCCCAGCCTACCTTCCTGAGGACAAGTTCTAAGCTGAGCACCTCCTCCAGACTTGGGAGTAGTGGCCGTGATAGTCTTCTAACTCTAAAAATGGTCTACTACTGGACTTCTAAACTTCACTTAGTTTGAGCTGAACCAGTCCTACTTCTGCTACCCCATTTGAACATCAACACTGAATTCTCCTAGACTGACCCCTACCAAGCTGCTCTTCAAACTGACAAGGTGAGGTAACAGGAAACAGACTGAAATATCTACTCAACAGAAGGGAGACAAGAAACAATACCAATAAATACTACCAATAACCTAACTCCAGATTCCTAGGTCTTGTTGCACAAACAGAAACATGAATAAGACTCCCAATGCTTAGCACGTCCATAGTCATTAATCCTGAGAAAAGTAACTTAGATGACATATAGGTGACCTAAAATATTAGAGTTCCTTTTTCTATGGTCATCATATCTTCTCTGGCTGATTTGTTTTTGTGTTGGGTAGACTCATTGCAGTTTGTTTAGGTGTTATTTATCCATGTGGGGTGGCTCACAATGCTACCAGGGGCCATAATGATGTCTAGGTCCATGGCCCTATCACAGCCAGGGTCTGTATTGATGTCCATGGCTCTGTCACCACTGAAGGCCGTACCACCTGGGGCTATATCATAGTCCGGTGATCACAATGCTGCTGGGCCCATGCCAACCCGAGAGGCCTGCACTGCCACCCTTGGCTATGGTGACATCTAGGCCCAAGCTGCTGCTGATGGCCATGTCTGGATCTGTGCTCCTGCCACAGCAGGGTCTGTGCTGATGTCCATTGCCATGTTACCACAGGGGCCTATTCAAATCATGTGGTGAACCATTGGTTGAAACGTGTTGAAGTACAAGGGCTGTGCTGAGCTGGTCCTGCCCCTCACCAGCCTGGCCTGAAGAGAGTTGCCTCCACCCCCACATGAGGGCTGACCCTGTCCCTCACTGGCTCTGAGATAATGGACTCTGATGACCCTACACTGCAGAGCTGGCCTCTCAACTAATAGGAGAGATGCCGCCACCTATACTTGGGAAAGCTGGACCCACCACTCACCACCGTTGTGGGAGAGCTGGCTCTGTCCCTCACCTGGGAGCAGTGGTCCAAGCACTGGGCAAACCAGCTTAGCTACCACCCAGGCACACATCCAGGGCTTTGAGTTGGCACTCCTCAAACCTACCCCATCTGTGACCTGCTGGAGGACTTGAAGAGACTGGTCCTGCAGAACCATAGCCATAGCGTCTCCATGACTTGTGGTAATAGCAGGATATCTTTTCATATCTATATCAAGAGGAGTTTTGGTGAGTGTCCAGTATTGTTGGGGTATCAGAACCCAGAGGCCTTGAACCTGCCCAGCAACACATTACACAATGCACATTTCTAAGTAAAGCTGTGTGGACAACAGGGTATACTGCATGATGCACAGCAGCTCCCAATGCCTCTGAGAAGAATGAAGAAGAGATGGAGAGGCAGGAAAGATGGAGGATCGAAGTGTGGGGTTTTTTCCCTTTTGTTTTCGTTTTGGTTTTGGTTTGTTTGTTTTTATCTTATTTTTTATTATTTCTTTTTTAGTTTTCCTTGGTGGAGGACATGACAAGGGTGAAGGATGGATATGGAGGGACTGGGAAATGAATAGGACTGAGGTGCATGATGTGAAATTCCCAAAGAATCAATTAAGAAAATATTAAAAATATCTTGGGGCTGGAGAGATGACTCAGTGGTTAAGAGCACAGACCGCTTTTCCAGAGGATCCGGCTTCAAATTCCAGCACCCACAGGGCAGCTCCCAACTGTTTGTAAACTCTAATTTCAGGGAATCCGATACCCTCGCACATACATGCAGACAATACACCAATGTACACAAATTAAAAATAATTAATAAATAATAATAATAACTTAGCATGGCAGTGGTGGTGCATGCATTTAATCTCAGTACTCAAGAGGCAGAGGCAGGTGTATATCTGTGAGTTTGAAGCCAGCCTGGTCTATAGAGCTAGTTCCAGGACAGCCAAGGTTGTTACACAGTGAAACTCTGTCTCAAAAAATAAAATAGTACTAATAGTATTTTGAAGTTGTTACAGTTACAGACGGGATGGCATAGAGCTATCTGGTGATCCAAAGAAATTTCAAGGAAGGAAATATTGGGAGAACTGTGATGGTAAATTAAAGCCAGGGTATATGTGGAAAATTTTGTCACTTATGGACATGAGCTTCTGGTCAAATCATGGATAATATGCCTGGGGTAAACATACCACCACTTTCCAGTGATACTGGATCTCTGAAATGTCACTGGCCTTAAGACGCATTTATGTGTATATTATTTAGACACTTCCCCCTTGGGTCAACAATGTCAGGATCCTGAAAAGGGCTCTATGGTTTTATCTGATCCATGTCTGCAAATGAACTACTCTAATCCCATAAAATTGGTCACAGAATTGATATTTTGCACATATAGTAATGTTTTGTTTAAATGAGTTCTTAATGGAATGTGGAACAATTTAAATTGAAGCAATTGAAACTATAGTAAAACACTACTACAGGCCAGTGAAATGATTTACTAGTCTGCAGGTTTCAGTCTGCCCCTAGGATCTACTAAGAACTATTATAGTGGCAGGAACTGGAAAACAATTCACCTAACACCCTATTTTTATGAAGATGAAATGCTAGCATAGGAAGAGGATCCACAGATAAATAAATTTAACAAATGGAGTAGCTGGTAGGAAATGAAAGATATTGTAGACAACGAAAAAAAATTGGAAAGGCATAAAGAGACTCAGCTAGAAGGCAAGCTGTAATGTTAAATCATACCTTGTCACATTTGCCTGCTCGCTCCTGGAATCTTGAAAAGTTAAATGCTTTGCTTTTCTATGCTGCTTAATGGCCCACGAGACCAGTGGCAGGACAGAATCTGCTCTTGCTTATAGAAAATGCTGCATTTACCCTAAGGGCAGGGCTATATCTTTGCTAAAATCATGTTCCAATAGGGCATAGTTTTGAATTAACAAGGTACCTTCCTAAAGTGAGTTCATGTTCCTAACGAAATCACCAGGATGTTTAAAAGAAGAGTCATAGTTCATACACTTTTGGATTACATGCTCATTTTGTTTTATTAAACCAGAGCCTTAGAAATAATCGTGAATTACAAGGCTTGGTCAATACACATTTCCACTGGGATCATTGATACTGCTCTCCAAGAACAGTGTGGTTGAATGCTGTCCACAGCGACCACATTCACGATGTCATACAACCCCGGAGTATAATCAGAAGGCTTCTGGAGAGAATCCACAGTAAAAAAGATGCAGGATTCCACCACACCAGTTTTTCCATCAGTACTGGTAATACAGACCTAAGATGAGAAATGAAGGCAATGAGTATGGAGAAGCATAACCCACCACAGATGACCCTCAACAACCCCTTGGCTCTACTCAGCAGGTCCTTCACTCCATCACTGATTCTCATCCTTGACACACAGGGAATGCCTGGGTACTGTGTTAACACAATGAGTCACCATCCCACCTCACTCCTATTAAATCAGAGAAATAAGACAAACATTGGGTGACTTATGAGAGGATGTGCCCTTCATGCTACCCAATATGGACCCACACTATCTCCTGTGTGATGAGAAGACACGCCCTTCAGGCTACCTTATGTGACCCGAAACTCTATCTCCTGTGTGATGAGAGGACATGCCCTTCATGCTACACAATATGACCTCACACTCTATCTCCTGCGTTATGAGAAGACATGATCTTCATGCTACACAATGTGGCCAAACACTCTACCTCCCTGACTTTACATCTCATTCTCAGGCTGTACTGACCAAGGTCTTACCCACCTTTATTAGCAGGCTGAACACCTCAAACCCAGTGCACTCAAATTTTCCCCCACAATTGCCTCACAGCCAAGACGCTTTCTACCTGTTGTCCACAAACATCCTAACATCAAGTAAAGCACACAAGCAAGGAGTTAACAATGTGTATATTTTACATTATTTTCTGCTTATTTCCTTTTCAATCAGTGAATGTGTCCACTTTGGCAGGGGATATATTGCCAAACATACCAAACAAAATCCTGGGTAAAAAAAGAAAAAAGTGATCAGAAAGGAAGAATAGCCAGCTACCTACCCAGGACAAAGGCAACATGGAAGTAAATTACCTCATCCATATTCTGGCAATTTAGGAACCTCACAGTGTTGATAGTGATGTTTAGAGTACCTTGCTTCAAGGAATATTCAACCAGCAACAAGTCTCCTTTAAAAGGCAAGAACCCTAAAATAGCAAAGAAAATTAGAAATGTAAATACAATTGCACTTACATCATATCACATTACTTCAGGCCATTTGTCACTGAAATAGGCTAAACAACATTTCCTGAATGTAAAGTAACTTTTCCAAATACTTAGATACCTTTTGGACAGGTATGGTGGTTCATGCCTTTAATGCCAGCAGTCCAGATGCAGAGGCAGGTGGATCTCTGTGAGTTTAAGGCCAGCCTGGTCTGCAGAAAGAATTCCAGGACAGCCCAGACCACAAAGTGAGACCTTGTCTCAAAAAACAAAAACAAAAACAAAAAACAAAACCCCATCACAGATACCTTGAATATCTTCCTACAATAAGGGAAGTTTATAGTCCTGCAAACACTGGTTCTTCTACCCTGATTAACGGTCAGATGTTGATAACTAACAACTGTGTGTCTCAGAGTGAGCATTTCGGCAGGATCACTGGTATTCCTCCTCAAACAGTTACATCTCCTTTGGGAGAGGCAGCCAGGCACATTAGTTGAGCCTGTGTGCCTTTCAGTATACCTAGGCTAAAGACAAAATCTGAGGGCCTAACTTTTGAGACAGTGTTCTAGAATAAGGACACAGGGAAGGGGGTGGAGAGAAAGCAAAGGCTCCAGGGCTATTTGCAATGATTGACGGATTTTCAATATAAATCCCTTACATGTAGGATGTTTTCAATGAATAGACTTTGAACGTAGTTGGATGTGCTGGCCAAAGTTTATTATCTCAGTCCTGGAAGGACGGCTAGGCAGTTAAGAGCTCATGCTGCTGGCTGTAGTAGAGGGCACTGCTGTGGGATGGTCTGTATGTCAAATGTGTTGCTGATTGGTCAATGAATAAATCACTGATTGGCAGTGGCCAGGCAGGAAGTATAGGCGGGACTAACAGAGAGGAAAATTGAGAGAACAGGAAGCTGGGAGGAAAGACACTGCCAGCCGCCATCAGGACAAGGAAGATGTAGTCTCTGTGTTTACTTGATCCAGTTTGAGCGGCTTGGGACTGGCGGGTGAGAGAGATTTGCCCTGACTGTGGGCCAGGCAGAAAAACTCTAGCAACAGGGCACAGGTTAGGTTCCCAGAAACCACATAGTGGCTCAGAACCATCTGTAACTCTAGTTTCAGAGGATCTAAGACCCTCCTCTGGCCTCCTCAGGTACCAAGCACACATAGTACTCATATGTGCATATAAACACTCATATGCATAAATAAAAATTAATAAATGGTTTTTGTTTTGTTTTTAAGAATAGAGCTGGGCATAGGGGCACACACCTTTGATCTCAGAACTTGGAAGTCAGAGGCAAGGGGAACTCTATAAGTTTCAGGCCCACCTAGTCTATATAGTGAGTTCTAAACAACCAGTGCTAATTAGAGAGATCTTGTATAAAACAAAAGAAAAAGAAAGGAGAGAGAGAGAGAGAGAGAGAGAGAGAGAGAGAGAGAGAGAGAGAGACAGAGACAGAGAGAGACAGAGAGACAGAGAGACAGAGAGAATAGAAAATGCCTGTGTGGGCCATTTTCTTGATTGGTAGGGAGGCCGAGCACATTGTGGGTGGTACAAATCCAGGATAGGTTGTCTTAACGGTATATTAAGAAGGCAGGGTGAGCCATGAGGAGTAACCCAGTACGCAGCACCCCTTCATGGTCTCCGTTTCAGTTGCTGTCTTAGGCAGCTGTATTGAGTTCCTGCCCTTATTTATCTTGACTATGGACTACAATCTTCAAGGTGAAATAAACCCTTTCCTCTCCAAGTTGCTTTTGGTCACAGTGTTCATCACGGCAGTTGAAACACTAATGAAGACACTCTCCCTCTCCCAGAAGCTATCAATTATCAATACTTCCTTTTCTAGGAGTGAACTTCATGTCCACTTCCCCACTTGATGCTGAGATTTGGTCTGGGTTGAGCTTGCATGAAGCTTCTTTTAAAGCCATTGAACAAGAGAGATAGTTATAGTCTATTAGGCTTGGGTTATACGATCTTGAGAATGTGGGAAGTGTTCTTACAATCGGAAATAAGGTACAATAAAGGGGAAAGAGGTAATACTGTTTAAAACTTTCCTGATATCATTTACAATGTGAATGCAATCACTGATGACTCTATATGGTTTTTATTTATCAACTTATTTCTGTAGTTTTTCTTTTTAAAATTTTTGGTTTTTCAGGTATGTTTCTTCAGGGTCTTTTAAAGCTCACTGTGTATCCAAGGTGTGGTTCTGAACTCAAGAAACCCTAGCTTCTGGCTTCTGGGTGCTGGGATCATAGACTTTTTGTTGGTTTGCTTTTTGAGACAAGGTATCAAGAAGTGTTGGGACTAAAGGCATGTACCTCCATGTCTGCAAGAGGGCATTTTCTCAATTGGTGTTTTCTCTTCCCAAATGACTCTAGTCTGTGTCAAGCTGACATAACAATTAGCCAGCACAGTGAATCAGTGCTTTTACGTCCACCATGCTCCAGTGGAAGGCCACACGGCCATGAATGTATAGGCAGTACAAATCGAATTTGATCAGTGAATACAAAGAGGACACAAAGTTGGGTGGATAGGGAAGAGGGGCGGATTTACGGGATATGAATATGGTCAAAGTTCATTATATAAAATTCTCAAAGAACTAAATAAAATGTTAAACCATACCTCCAGAAAGAAGTTGCATGGGAAAGAAAGTTTCCTCACTGATATAGATGTTGTCTCGTGTTGTATAAGTCACACATTTAATGCAAAGTCTCTTGTCAAATTCGGATGGTTCAATACCATAAATGGGATCAGACACAGCTTTCACCTACAAGATAAGGAGACAGTGGTTGCAGCTAAAAATAAGAGTTACAGACAGGACTTTGTATATGCAAATGACTCACCACCAAAACAAAACAACAGCAGTTTAACGAGTTGGTTTGTCACAGTTGTAAGGACCTGTTAGAGACAAAGTGCTTTATTTTTCACATCAAGACAGCCTTCATTCAACAGAAATCATTTCAATGACAGCTCTCAACACTGTCATCATGGACATGAGAAGATGCATAAATTGTATCTGTGCTTGTTCTGTGGATTGGTCAGTGCATTCCAAAAAGAAATTGCCCACCTATGTTGAATGCACACATATCCTTAGGTTCGGAAATTAGACTTGATCTGCACTCTGATTCTACAGGAAACCACAGATACACTGTACCTTAAATAATTTCAGAATTTTCCTGGAAAAACCAAAAATTTTAAAAAGAGAACTTGCATTCTCCCAGTTCTTTTTTTTTTCACCTAAGAAATACTACTAATGGAGCTGAAGAGATGGCAAGGAAGTTAATAGCACAAATTGCTCTTCCAGAGGACCTGAGTTTGATTCCCAGCACCCATGTCAGGCAGCTCCTAATGCCGTTACCACTCCCACTACCGCCACTGTTCTCTGCAAGCATCTATACACAGGTGGCATGCACTCACAGAGACACATATATACATGCTTAAAAATAAAGTAAATCTTTAAAAGTAGAAATACTGTGAACACAGAGAAGAATACATTCTAGAATATATTCTAAGGCTTAAGAAAAGATTTTAATATACTGTTGCCCTTCCCAATCAAATGGCACTGAGTGGATGATCCAATACATGGTACAGGACCACTACACATAGCCAGTTATAAAGCAAGGTGTGGATCCTTGTCCCAGGACCCTATGTCAAAATCAGGGTGATTGAATGTTTGTATTTCTATACACATACAGCTTTTAGAAAAACAAAACCAAAACGAGACAGTACATGGGGCTTGCAATCCCAGCACTTGGAATGAAGAGACTAGGAAGATGACTATGAATTTGAGGCCAGCTGAGGATACATAATGAATTCCAGGCATGTGATGTACAGATTGAGACTCTGTCTCCTAAAACAAGAATAAGTAAATTGGAAAAGAAATTAATGTCCACATAAATCATGAATTGACATTAGCTTTACAATTCCTGCTAAAAATCAGAAGGTAAAGACACAATGAGCATACTTATAGTGCGTTAAAATTATACATAAAATCGAGAACACAGAGTATTAGGTAAAATAATGGGAAGAAACATGCACAATTTTCCTAACAAAGACAGTATTTTTACTAACATGGAAAGAGCTATTATGAATTTAACTAATGAGAGGAGTAAAAAGAGAAAATTGCTACATTATCTCTAAGATTTAAAGAAATTGGGAGGTTAGGGAATTGTCTCAGTGGATGAAGTGCATCTTGTGCAACCATAGGACCTGACTGTTGATTCCCAGCACCCTTACATAAAAGCAGGGTGTGGTGGAATCCATCTGTAACCTCAGTACTGAGAGGCAGAGACCACCAGATTCTGTGACTTTCTGGACAGGCAGAATAGCCCTAACAGTGAGCTCCAGGTTCTGTGAGAGACTGTCCCTAAACAGAAGGGGGCAAGAAACTGAGAGAAACATGCCAATGTTGAACTATGACCTCCATACATGCCTGCATGGGTGACTCCACATGCATACAACACACACACACACACACACACACACACACACACACACACACACACACACATGCACACACCACACATAAACAAGCAACAACAAAAAGAGAGTTTTATAGTTTGAAAATAATATTATGAAGCCATTTTAGTTCTCATTTTATAATAATATAATATAAAATTTGTAGCTAGAGTTTTCCTGCCTTGCCCACAGTCAGGACAAATCTTTGTCACCCACCAGTCCCACAGCCGCTCAGATCCAACCAAGTAAACACAGAGACTTATATTGGTTACAAACTGTATGGCCATGGCAGGCTTCTTGTTAACTGTTCTTACAGCTTAAATTAATCCATTTCCATTAATCTATACCTTGCCACATGGCTCGTGGCTTACCAGGCATCTTTACATGCTGTTTCTCATCATGGCGGCTGGCAGTGTCTCTCCCACCCAGCTTCCTGTTCTCTCCATTCTCCTCTCTGTTAGTCCCGCCTATACTTCCTGCCTGGCCACTGGCCAATCAGTGGTTTATTCATTGACCAATCAGCAACACATTTGACATACAGACCATCCCACAGCAAAAATTATTTTATAATAATAGTAATTAATAATAATCTATGTTTACCAATACTGGCAAAAGGCTGTTTTGTAGCCTGTTGATGAGAAAATCAATTTAGATATTATAGCTAAAAATAATTTAATATCATCCACTGATATGTAAATACCTGGACAGTTGTGGTGTTTACAGAAGTCTATCTTCCGAAATTTTATAGTAGAATCTAGTACTTGTGTATTAAGTATATCTTAATTGGTATATTGAAGAGTATGATGCACACAGGGGTGTTCACGCTAATTCTACTCATTGGAATGCAGAGGACAGAAAGTGTCTTTTCACTAAGAAGTGAAAGTTGCAGGGTTGGACAGAGTTGGACAGAGATAACATCATTCACCATGCTGTTCAAATACTAGTAGATCAGACACAAAAGCTTTAGGAACAGAAAAACATCACTGCAATTGGTTACTAGAACATTGAATCTGCTTAACTCAAAGGAGAATGTCAACTTTCACCCTGTATCCACAATGATGCTCATCTTTTTTTTTTTAATTTTTTAAAATACTTTTATTTTATAATAATTTAATTTTACATATCAGCCACGGATTCCCCTGTCCTCCCTCCTCCCACCCCCCAGCTCTCCCCCCCAACCCATCCCCCAATCCCACCTCCTCCAAGGCAAGGTCTCCCCTGGGGAGTCAGCCCAGCCTGGTAGATTCAGTTGGGGCAGGTCCAGTCCCCTCCTCTCTACACCAAGGCTGAGCAAAGTGTCTCAGCATAGTCCCTAGGTTCCAAACGCCAGTTCATGCACCAAGGACAGGTCCTGGTTCCACTGCCTGGGGGCCTCCTAAACAGTTCAAGTTAATCAACTGTCTCACTTATCCAGAGGGCCCAGTCCAGTTCCATTGGGGCTCCTCAACTATTGGTTCACAGTTCATGTGTTTCTGCTAGTTTGGCTATTTGAAAGAGAGCTTAGGGGAGAGGGAGGTCCCAGCTGGATAAGGAACAGAGTGGGAGAACAAGGAAAGCGATACCATGATAAATGTAGACCCCATGGGAAGAGGTAGAAGCAGAGTGCTAGAGAGGTCCCCAGAAATCCACAAAGATACCTCTACTATAGACTACTAGCAATGGTCAAGAGAGTGCCTGAGCTGACCTACTCTGGTGATCAGATGGCCGAACACCCTAACTGTCATGATAGCACTCTCATCCAGTGACTGATGGAAGCAGATGCAGAGATCCACGGCCAAGCCCCAAGTGGAGCTCAAGGAGTCCAATCGGTAAGAGAGAGGAGGGATTATATGAGCAAGAGATATCGAGACCATGAATGATGCTCATTTTAATCCAAGAGGAAATATCAAAATCCTATTACTATAAGAGAATCTCAGCTAACTCAGTCTTACTTTGATTGTTTTGAGTGCATGAGTTGTTTCATCTTCTTCCACGAGAGCAATGACACTCATTCCAACATTCACCGGGACATTGCCACACACCATGTCCGGATTGAAGAAGATAGATTCATTAATCCAGCCATAGTCGGTACAGAGATGGGTCACAATTCCTCTGACAGACTTCAAATTGGAGATATCTATGACACGGATAGACAAAGGCCACAATGGTTCATATCAAATGCCAACAGTCTCTACACAGAAGTCCTACTCTGAGCACCTGTGTAGATGTGAGCACATATCATCACTTCTCTGACCATAACAACCATTCCTGGGCCCTAAGATTGTGACTACTGAATGGCACCTCCATGGCATCTGTGGGTGGCCTGTCCCAGTAAGAGTACAAGTTCTGCTCAGGAAGCCTCTTCAAACTCCCATTATTGCTGGTATATGCCTGCCTCAGCAGCAGCAGCAAATGCGTAGCCATGGCTCTAAATTCAGACCGAGCATTAAAGATATGTGCAGAAGGAAGGACATGTTTCCAAACTGTCTTTTATTCTTCATGAACATAATGGGTAAGTAACGTTTTGGAATCTGGCTCCAGTATCCTGCTGGAACAACCGGCCACCTTTCCTTCCTGGTACCCTCCTTATGACTGACTCTGCCTCCTGGCTTCAGATACATGTGTGCATGGGGAACAAGGCCAAATTCAGCCTCCAAGTGAGATGTTCCCCTTCTCTGGGGAATACACAAAGGCGTCTTGCAAGGGGAAAGGCAGAGACAGTACAGCCCACAAAGACTTGTGTCACGTGTTCTTTGAGTTGGTCTACACAGCCTCCTGCTTTGGCCCACCAAGGGAGCTTGGGGCACAGTTCAGTGTTGGCCTAACTCTTGGGAACTCAGGGACACTCTCATGCTCAACAGCCACTCAGGATGGCGGCAGGCCCCTCCCCGCTATCCATGCCCCACTGCACCTCATGGTGGAGAACCTTTTCTGAGGAGTCTCCTTGAGTGGGGACATGGGGACTGACTCCCAGAAGATTACCTTGATCATGGGGACTGCTTCCGAGAGGATTATCTTGAATCTGTAGATTTTCTTTAGATTCGGTGCTCCTCCAAAAGAAATTTAAAATACAGCGCAGAATTCTCTGCATAATTACCACTGGCCTGGACAACACCGAGGCTTTCTGATGAAGCTTGAGGTCTCCTGACTGTCAAGTTTGATTCTTCGGCATCCCTGAGATGGTAGTGAATGGCTAACAGACCAACCTGAGGAGAGCCTGCAGTAGGGTTTCAAGGAGACCACTGGAGGTCGCTACTTTTCAGCCAATGAGACGCAACTGTTTGTTTACATCACTGCTGTAGCCAATGAGAGACACTGAGCAGGGAAATTTAGCCCCACCCACTCACACAAGTGAACCAATAGAAAATTGGTTCTGGAAAATTCATAAGTTGGCCCTTAGTACAGGTATTGTGAATACCTATACAGCATTTCTGCTTTGCACACTTTGGGTCTTTTTTTTCTTTTTTTTTTTTTTAGTTCTTTGGGTGAGAGTTTATTGATTTGAAGTGCTATTGTAAGCACTTAGGGCTACACATTCCTTGGATCCCTTCTTTCACTGTATTCCATATGTTTTGACATAATTTAATTTCAACACTAAATATAGCAAAACTTCCTTTGACGTGTTTTTGATTTGATAGATTATAAGTGGATCCTTAATTTCCTATTTGCTTTTTATTCCTTTGTTTGGATTCTTCTTTTACTTTAAAACCCCTTCCTCAGGTTCTTTCTTGCCTTTTGTTCATTGAATTTTTTAATTGAACATTAATCATCTACTCTCTTACATTGGGACAGTGAGAAACTTAGGTAAATATTTTATTTTATCAGACAGTTGCCCTGATTTAGTTTACCATGCAGGGTCTTTGTTTCTCTTATGGAAAATTCTTTCAACGTAAAACAGATGATTCTTAGCCCCTTTTGATATTAATTTGGTTTCTGGTTTCTCTGATCCTGGTGTTTGCCTTTGGATCTTAGCTGGTACTATTTGAATGAATGGAAGATAATTCTCTAGCATAGTGTATCCCTCATTAGGAATGAAGGAATATCATATCCATGGGGATAAGGAGATTTCGTAGGGCTGGTAACATGTGGTAACGGTTTCCTCTTTCAAGTCCTTTCTCTTTCCCCCGCTGATCTCTTATGGAAGAAGAAGAAGAAGAAGAAGAAGAAGAAGAAGAAGAAGAAGAAGAAGAAGAAGAAGAAGAAGAAGAAGAAGAGATTATAATGGTGGTGACATTAAAGAAGCTTCTAGCTCATTACCCTTGGTGTGTCTGGGTCTTTCTTGCAATTCTGCTCATATACATTGGTTTCTGTCATCCGCACTTGGACAGAGTCTCCAAGCCAGTATGGGGAGCACATATTTCTTCTGGCTGCTTACTCTGGACACATCCTTGGCGATGCATTATGCCAGTTTATGTTTGTTTGGCCTGATGTAGTCAGAAGCTTCCCTACTCAGGATGGGAAAAGCAATAAGCTTACCCACACAGACTTCTCTTAATATTTTGAAAGCGGAAAAACTGAGTCTGAATGACCCTTTTCTGAAAAGTCCTGAACTAAGAAATGTGTGATTTTGCCTGAATACAGAATGTGTTGCACACTGTCTCCTTGTAGCTCAAGGTTATTTTCCTCACTCCTCTTGACAGATGGTCACAGTCCTGTCCCTGATGACAAGAAGTCTTGGCCATGTCATCTCCCTATGACAAGAATCATTAAGATGGAGTCAAAGAGTTGGCTCAGAAGTTGAGAGCACTTGTTGATTTCTCTGAGGACCTTGGTTCAGTTCCCAGCATCCACATGGTGATTCACAACTGTCCATAATTTCCATATGATATCTGCTTTGACCTCCATAGGCATCAGCTGTATGTGGTGTACATAAGTACAAGCAAGCAAAACACCCATACACACAAAACAAATTAAATTATTTTTAAATGAGTAAATGATCATGTAGCAGGAATCTTAAAAAGTCTTATTAATAAAAACAAACCTGAAGCCAGGTATTGGGGTGAATGCTGGAAGATCAGAGAAGCAGAACAAGCCACAGCCACCTCACCTTGCCAATTCCTCAGCTGATCCTGTTTCCTCAGACTGGAAGCCTCTGAGTCCTCATCCAGAATGAATCTCAGATGAACTGCTGCTAAAAGCTTAAAAGCTTAACCAGGCTAGTTCCTGGTTTTCATGCCTTATATACCTTTCTGCTTCCTGCCATCACTTCCTGGGATTAAAGGCGTGTGTCACCATGCCTGACTGTTTCCAGTATGGCTTTGAACTCACAGAGATCCAGGTAGATCTCTGCCTCTGGAATGCTAGGATTAAAGGCATGTGCTACCACTGCCTAACCTCTATGTTTAATATTGTGGCTATCTGTTCTCTGACCCCAGATAAGTTTATTAGGGTGCACAATATTTTGGGGAACACAATACCACCACATGATCAAATAAGAATTTATCCAAAAAGACATACAAAGACATAAACATGACAAAATATGCTCTATAGTTTTATCTATATAAGGCAAGTACAAACCAAATTATAGTAAGAAATATTAATAATAATCAGTACTTAGCTGATCATGGTGCCATAGAACTGAAATATCAGTACTTGGGTGGTGGAAGCAGGAGGATCAGGAATTCAAAGTCCACTTTAGCTACATAGAAAGTTTAAAGCCCTGTTTCATAAAGCACAGAAAAAGATTAGGTGCTGAAGAGATGGCTCAGTTGCAGAGGACCAGGTTCAGTCCATATTAATTGGTTTGCTCTGATGCATTCTTCTGACCTCCTCAGGCACCAGGCATATATATTCATGCAGGCAAAACATTCATACACATAAAATTACTAGAAAAAATGTTAATGAATGACAAAATGTACCATATATCTCAAAAAGCTGGAAAAAATTTTGAAAATATTCATCATAAAGAAATAGCAAACATGAGGAGAAAAACATGTTTAACGTATTTTAAATATTATAGAATATACACGTGTATAAAATATTGCATGGCATCCCACTAATATGTATGATTTTATGTATTGATTTAAATGAATTTTTAAAAGTCACAATGCAATAACTATATATTCAGTATAATGACATAATAAAAAACAATAAATAAATATTGATAGTACGGATGTAGAAAATTAAAACCCTGAGCAACAGCTCCACCCCACACCATGCAGCTGGAGCAGGTGAGGACTCAACCAAATGCAGCCTGAGATTTAGAGGCCTGGCTTGTGAGAAGACTCCAGCAACACCTCCACACCAACCAGGAGCTGGGCAGTTGGGCACTATTATGAGGAATCATGGTCCTGAGCAGCACCAGGAGGAATTGAACAGGACAAGAATACTCACATGCAGGCCTGGGGTGGGGTCTGACCTGGGCCCACCTGGCACCTTGCCCCACCAGGCAGATGGGCACTATTATGGTGAACAAATGTATGGTGTGATATGGGAGTGTAAAAGAGACAGAATGGCTCATGTCCTGTGGACAGGGGCAGATCTGAAGAGGCAAAAGAGGTGAGGAGTGTACTGAGGTGGGTGGCTTGAATGATTGCTACCCAGAGTCATGGTGATATCTGGGCCTTTGCTTATTTGTACCTGCGCGCGCGCATGTGTGTGTGTGTGTGTGTGTGTGTGTGTGTGTGTGTGTGTGTGTGTGTGAGTGTGTGTGTGTGAGTGTGTGTGTGTGTGTGTGTGTGTGTGTGTGTGTGTGTGTGTGTGTGTGCCCATGTGTTACTTTCATGTAGCCTAGGGTGGAAAAATTGAAACTTTTGTTGAGCCAAGATCTCACTATGTAGCCCTGGCTAGCTGCCCTGGAACTTGCTCTGTACACGAGGCTGTCCTTAAACTCAAAGAGATCCACCTACCTCTGTCTCCTGAGTGCAGGGGTTAAAAGCATGCACCACTATGCTGGGCTGACTTTTTATAACATTTTAAGGGAGTAAACTGTATAGAGAAATATATCTAGTCTTAGAAACTAGTTACACCAGGAATTGAAACAACAATCTGAAATCACAATTGAAATGGAGATCTAGGTGTAAAAGCTACCAATCTTATACACTGGCTTGTGAATAATGCTACAATGAAGAGTGTGGATACCCTGGTGAAGTGAATATTTCAGTTGGTGCGGAGACAAGGCCTCAGTTCTGCAATCCAGGCTGGTCTGGAACTTTAGGTCCCTGCCTCTGCCCCTGCCTCTGCCCCTGCACCTGCCTCTGCCTCTGCCTCTGCCCCTGCCCCTGCCTCTGCCTCTGCCCCTGCCCTACCTCTGCCTCTGCATCTGCCTCTGCCTCTGCCCCTGCCCTACCTCTGCCTCTGCCCCTGCCTCTGCCTCTGCCTCTGCCCCTGCCTCTGCCTCTGCCCCTGCCTCTGCCTCCCCACTAGTGCTGGTATTCCATGCAGGTTATTTCTGTTTTAGAACTGTATCTACTCTGGAACTCTTTTTTATATTACTAATTGTTGTGTCTCTAGCATGTTGTGTCTCTACCATTAATTTCTTTTCTTTTTTTTTGTTTGTTTGTTTTAAGACAGGGTTTCTCCATGTAGTTTTCGTGCCTGTCCTGGATCTCGCTCTGTAGACCAGGCTGGCCTCGAACTCACAGAGATCCTCCTGGCTCTGTCTCCTGAGTGCTGGAATTAAAGGCGTGTGCCAACACCGCCCAGTTTAATTTCATTTTTAACATCAATAAAATCAAAGAAGTACTCCAAACTCATAGAGCAGACAATTTAAATCCAGCTGTCTATTGTTCACCAGTCACTCGATTTTCTAAACAAAGTCTTTTATAACCAAAAACGTAAGCACAAACAGATAACATTTGTGTATTTGTATAAAAATCATGTCTTCTTTACTACAGCTGTGATAAACACCATGACTAAAAGCAACTCGTGGAGAAAATGGTTTATTTCAGTTTACAACTCTCAGGGCACAGTCCATCACTGAGGGAAATCAGGGCAGGAATTCAAGCAGAGCAGGAACCCAGAGACAGGAACGGAAGCAGAGGCCATGAAGGAACACTGCTTACTGTCTTGCTCTCCCCCAGGAAAGCAGAATTTAACAGAAAGTGCACAAAATATCAAAACTGAAGACAAAAATCCATGTTTTGAAATCTGCCACTGATAACATATGTAAATCTGTGGGAATCACGTTCTACGTGGCAATTTTTAAAAATTTATATCTTTACTTTTATTTTATGAATGTTTTGCCTGTATGTATCGCTAACTGGAGGGCCAGCCTCCAGCAGCCCAGGGTATGAAAAGAAATCCACAAATGAGGCAAGGGATAGACTTTTTCTATCTGAGGGGTAAATAAGGAAATGCACTCTCTCTGATGATAACTTTCTCTTTTACTTCAACTTAGGAAATCTCTTTCTGAAAATTCTCTATCTCCACACAGCTACATTCTTTACACACACACACACACACACACACACACACACACACACACACACACCCCTTTAAATACATTCATCTATCTCCTGCACACCCATATATTTCTATACACAGTTCTACCTCTTTTTTACATAGCACCACATCTCTCTTTTATACACATTTCTTCTCACTACACTGCAGCATTCCTTCACACACTACCTCACCATTCACTCATTCTTTACTCAGTCTCTCACACACTCACTCTCCTTTACTCTCACATCTCTCCCCTACATCTTTCCATATAGCTTTACAGGCTCTCTCTTCTACATAGCTACTCACCTTCTACCCAGCTCTCTCTGCACACATAACCTGCTCTCTCATCTCACACACACACACACACACACACACACACACACACACACACACACACACACACACACACCTGACACATACTCACTCTTCAACAGCCCAAAACTGGACAATTATATGCTACATTTTCAGGGTCTGACACATTCTTACATGTGATGAGTCATACAATTTCTCTTAGGCTAGGGAGGTCACATTGACTGTCCAGTGAATAATGCTTGGCCGTGCACATAGCCTGAGTGGTCAGGGTTCCCAGACGGAAAATGACACTGAAATTCAGGACTTAATAATAAGCAGTTAGTTGGCTGAACCTTGAGTGGTAGGGATACGTGCAGGAAGTCAATTACTGCAGGGGGTTATGTCTACCAAAGTTGCTTCATGTCTGACCTTGATTCAGCAGTAACCACCTGGGAATTTGTTCTTGTGTATTCTCTGCAGGGACAGCTAGTCTGTTTTGAATTTGTTTTGAGGTCTAACATTAGCTGCCTTTGTGACTGAGAATACTGTTACTTTCCTATGTCAGTTATGAAAAAGATCCTAGTATTATTTCAATTCATCAGAATTATACAGCTTAAGCGGACATCATCTTCCTGACCACTCACACCTATATATGTGCCTAAAAGATGGAATATCTTCATGAGATAAACACACAAACAGTGGGAAAACACCCATAGCAGTTCTTAGGGAAGAAATATGGGGTGGCACATGAAAAATTACAGACATGAGCAACTGGTCATTTACAGTCAGTGACCCCACAGCTTTGCCAGGTGGGGCTCCCCATCAGAAAGTTATTTGTCTGGTGGGTCGACCTCTTGAACACTAGTTGTCACCTGTTGTATACTCCCACGGCCTCTGGTAAGGCCATTGGTACCAGCATCTCTCAGCATGCATGTATGTCTGTTTCCCAGGCATGCGTCTGATCCCTGTGGAGGTCAGAAGAGGGCATCAGATCCCCTGGAACAGGAATCACAGGTGGCTGTGAGCCATTGTATAGGAAATCAAATCTGGGTCCTCTACAAGAGCGGTCAGTGCTCTTAACCTCTGAGCCATACATATCTCCAGCCACAATTTTTTATATGACAAGACAGAAATATAAATGGAACCTACCTCAAAAGGTCCAAATTTATGTAAGAATAAATTAATGGTTAGAAAGGACTGTGAGCAAACCAGAAAACTTTTAAAGAAATGTTGTTTTTGATTTATGGTGAGTTCTGACCAAGACTAAACTATCTTACTAAAGGAAGCTAGTGATAAGTATAATGAAGGCAGCTACAACTCTCTGTCTGGGACTCAGGAAAGTCAAGAGTATCCAGCATGTGCTAGTGCTGAGAAGGCTCAAACCTTATGCGCCTTATTCTTTTGTGACTTCTTGGCAGAAAGGGCCACCCTTTACAAGATACCCAACAGGAACAATTGGGATGTGCACCACTTCAGGGGCTGGAGATGGGATATCTTAGAACCAGGAATTGGTAAGCTACACATGCCCTAGACCACGAACCATTTTCAGGGCTCCTATGCTTCCGTAAGGCCTCAAGATTTCATAGCATCAATTCTTTCTTGAACAGACTGCAAAACTGGAGGCAGCAGCTGGAAAGACAGCTTAGCAGTTTAAAAGGCTTACTGCATTTAAGGAGAATGTGAGTTCGGTTCCCAGCACCTACACTGAAGCTCTCACTGCCTGCAGCTCCAGCTCCAGTGAATCCTCAGCCCTCTTCTGGGCTCCACAGTTACTGCACACACGCAATGTGCATACAAACAGGCATGCACAAACAAGCATGCACAAACTCATACCTTAAAAGAAAAGAAAAGAAAAAACGGAGAAAAAGGTAGAGCACGAGTCCCAGTTGTTCTGGAAACCATAGACCACAGAAGAGAGATACTGGGTGTGGCCTCACGAAATATCCCGGAAACACAGCTCACTCCCCACCCACCCACACCACTGCCCCCTCACGGGGAACTTTCGCTTGGCGGGCACAGCGAAGGAGCACGAGCAGAGACATCACATCCGGCATCACATCCGGAAAAAGCAGCCTTCGTGAAGCCGAAGTTGCCTCGACCTGAGGGTAGCAGACAAGCTGAGTTTGCCATCAGATTTCATTTCGCCTCCATTTGAGAGAGCATTCGGGGGACCTGCTAGCTGGTGGTGAGTGGGGGTCAACTGGGACACCGTATTTTTCCACAGAGTTGGAGCAAGTTTGGGTTTTGGGAAAAATTGGATTGTCGAAATGGGTTTTTTGGGGAGGACTTCAAAACTCCTTAATCTGCCTCTAAATTCAAACATTAGGGCGAGTACGGGGTGCTTTGCTCCTTTTCCTTCTCCACATAATTTTGTCCTTGAAGAGAAACTTTCAGGTACTCTGTGCAGTGTCCTGGTGGAGAAGGGGGTGTGACTGCTTTAACCAGCATTCTGACTTGCGTAGGCACAAAGCTAGAAGGTTCCTTCTGGAAGCTAGGTGGCTGATGGAGTCTGCATGTGATCCTTGCTTAGGACAGGTTCTGCTGGGTAGAAAACAGCAATGCAGAGAAAATAGTACATATCAGACATTAACCAGCGTTAACCGTACACTGAGAGCACCAGGGGATTGTGCCTACGGCATGGTTCCTAAGACCATATTGAAAGATTTATTTCATTTTTAATTCTGTGTGGGGGTATGTGCGCGTTGAGTACGTCCAGGGAGATCAGAGGCGTCGAATCCCTCTGGTGTTTGAGTAACGAAGAGGCTTAAGTCGCCTATGTCGTTGCTGGAAGTGGAACTCGGGTGCTCTGGAAGAGCAGCAAGAGCTCATAACGGTTGACCCATCTCTGCAGCCGCAATAAATCATTTAAAACAAAAACCGAAGAACCAGGAAGTGATTCTTTGGGGGGCGGCGGCGTGGGCGCGCATAGGCGGGCTCGCTCCTCGATTTGGCGCCCAATCCCGCCATGGAGCGCTTGCTCCGCCATCTTGTGCTCCGTAATTCGTTTGCTCCTTCTCATGATTGCTGCTAATCACGCAGAGGTTGAACAACTTTCGGAAGGCAGTTCTCTGGGCTTTTTTGTTTGTGTTTCTTTTCTTTTTTCTTGTTTGTTTGTTTGGTTTCTTTTTTGAGACAGGGTTTCTCTGTGTAGTTTTGGTGCCTGTTCTGGATCTCTCTCTGTAGACCAGGCTGGCCTCGAACTCACAGAGATCTCCCTGCCTCTGTCTCCCGAGTGCTGGGATTAAAGGCGTGCACCACCACCGCCTCTCTCTCTCTCTCTCTCTCTCTCTCTCTCTCTCTCTCTCTCTCTCTCTCTCTCTCTCTCTCTCTCTCTGTCTCTCTCTCTCTCTCTCTCTGTCTCTCTCTGTCTGTCTCTCTGTCTCTCTCTCTCTGTCTCTCTGTCTCTCTCTCTGTCTCTCTGTCTCTCTCTCTCTGTCTCTCTCTGTCTGTCTCTCTGTCTCTCTCTCTGTCTCTCTCTGTCTGTCTCTCTCTCTGTCTCTCTGTCTCTGTCTCTCTCTCTTTTGAGGTGTAGGAGTGTTTTCCCTGCATCACTTGTTTCTTCTGTGGAGACCAGAAGAGGATCCCTTAAAGTGGAGTTTTAGACAGTTGTTTGTCTGGTGTCTGTGGGTTTTGGGAATCGAACCTGGGTCCTTGGAGAGAACAGTAAATGCTCTTAGGTGCTGAGCCATCTCTGCAACAGTATTCTCTCCTACCATGTGAGTCCCAGAGATCTAACTCAAATTGTCAGGTTTAGTGGAAAGCCCTTTACCCACTGAGTCAGTCCCTCATAAGCCATTTCTAAAGATCTTTTTTGGCAGATTCACATGCATGTGCCTCTGTGTGTGCATTGTGGGGGTGGGGGTGCATTGTCAGCACAGTCCAGGGAGGTGATTGGATTCTTGGATCTTATAAGGCTGTTCTGAGCTGCAAGGGTGCTGGGAACTGAACTAGTATTCTCTGTAAGAGCAATAATCACTCCTAACAGCACAACTGTCTTAACAGCCTCCCCTAAGCTTTTCCTTTTTGAGGCAGGGTCTCACTATGTAGCCCTGGCTATCCTGGAACTCACTGTATAGCCCAGGTTAGCTCTGAACTCACAGAGATTTGTGTGCTTCTGCATCCCAGGTGCTGTGTGCCACCATGCCTGGGCTTCATAAGCCAAATTTAACCATCTCATTTATGATGTTTTCCAAACAGGGGACTACAGTTCCTTAACACATGGCTTGATTATTTCTGGCAAAATCCCTGGGTGTTACCCAGAGACGGGAATCAGAAGCGGGAGAACGAAGGGTAGCTTTTTCTCTCTTGTCCCTCTTCTGTTTTCTCTCTCCCTAGCCTTCCTCAGAGCCTGTCCTCAGCAAGGATCCAATGCAGACTCCATCAGCCACTTCTAACGTCCAGAAGCAACGCTTCTTGCTATGTGCTTATGCAACCCACAGAAAGCTGGGTAAAACACAGCCACAGGCTGCTGACATGCAAAGTGTCTCTGGATGTCACAGTGGTCTGTGTAAAAGTGAGATGAACTGATGATGTGGATGCGGGTGGTGATGTCCACCATTGTGCTCATAAAGCTTGCCAGTTTCCACTAGCTCATGATCATTATACCGGAGAAAGAGCCATTTGGCTTCTGCTGCCACAAAAATCTCAGAAGTGCCACAGTGTTTGGAAAAACATGACACGGAATGTGTCTTTTCTTGCTGCATCCTGAGAATTTTGTTGTGGTTTCTGCTGGATCCCCTGCCTCTAGGAAGTCAGGCCATCAAGGGTATCCTTAGCCTGGGGAATACAGAGTCATATTCTGAGGAAGCGTGAATTCTGGAGAAGGGTTTACTCTTATTTGAACCCTTTCTGTCTATAAGAATCTTAATCTCTGTTTTTAAAATAGCCTAGCACTTGAATATCTTGTAAGCAAAGGGCAGCTGCAAGTTTTTCAAGTTAAATACACAGTTGAGTACAAAGGAACAAATCGGTACAGGGCCCTTTGTAAACTGTTCAGAGATGGCCATCCCCCGAATATCAGTGGTCTCTTTCCATTGTGGGAGGATGTTGACTGGGATGCGTTCGGTTACCTCTCCTCTAATCATGTCTCTGATAGTCCTGTCTCGGGGATTCTCTCAGGGTTGTTAATACAGTGGAAATGGAAAAATGTTAAATGGTCCATGTGCCAAAATCTTCACTTACTGTGAAAGAGTCAAAGGCCATAGAAGTTAGTTTTCCATTGAGTGAAGCTGAAAGTCTAGGATTATCTGTTATATGTGAAAAAAGAAAACCAAACCAGAAATATGCCCTATTTGTGAAAATTGAACAGACGTGCACAAGTAAAGTATTGGAGAGTCTCGGGACTCCTTTTCGCCATCGGGCGCTAGTTTTGTCATTCACCAACGTTTCCTAAACTGTTGAACAAAAAGAGGGCATTGTTTGGCATTTGTCTTTACCTAGCTGTGCTGTGATCTAATGTGGAAACCAGAGGAGAGACCATACCTTCAGAGGTAGTGCATACCACAGTACTTGACAGCTGAATTTAAAGGGGCAGGAACTTTCATTTTTCTTTGGTAATAAATGCCAAGTGAATATATCATGTAATTTTTCTTCTCTCCCCACCTTTCCTCTCTCTCCCCCGTATCTGCCCTTAGGAAGAAGATTAATTCACTTACTGGTTTTGTGTCAAACCTGATGGTGCCTCAATTGTGAAAGGTGTATCAGTGTCTCCCAGAAAAGTAAAACTGTTCTTCTAGCAAGTGATGATGAGTGAGGTGAAGGAAGATGGGTGCTTTAGTGCTCACGTCGGGGGTGTACAGAATAGTAATCTATCTATGCAAGACAGCTCAAACCAGAATAGGAATGATAGCTCACAACCCGAAAGTCATCCTCCGGAAAGTGCTCAGCAGCAGTTCCGGAACTTCTGCTACAATCAAGTACCTGGACCACTAGAGGCTGCCAGCAAGCTTCACGAGTTATGCTTTCAGTGGCTGATGCCAGAGACCAACTCAAAAGAGCAGATCCTGGAAGCTCTGGTGTTAGAGCAGTTCCTGAGCATTCTGCCCCAGGCAATGAAGAACTGGGTGCAAAAGCATCTTCCACAGGATATCAACCAGGCCGTGGCTCTGGTCGAAAGCTTGCAGACAGAGCCTGATGCAGTGCCCAACGAGGTAAGAATAAAGATTCCTTGTAATGCATAATGACACAGGATGAAAGTAGATGTGTCTTGGTTGGGAGCTACCAAGGAGTGAGACAAATTTAGTCACATTTCCTCCTTCCTTTAGAATGGCTAGCCAGGATCCAAAATCACGTGCTGACAGTGACTCCATAAGGTCCAGAGTCCCTGGCAGAGTCTTTCATGGCCTCAAAGGGAAAAGGTGTGTTTTCCTCTTTTTAAGGCCAGGAATAGAGGTGGTGAGCCTGCTCTAGCACATCTAGGAATACAAGTCTTGAGATGTTAGAAACAGAGAAATAAAAGGCAAGAAAGGTATGGGAAGGCAGATCTAAAACATAGTACGGTACAGAGACTAAAATAGAGGCTAGAGAGCAGACGCACGAATTAGACAACTTTGAGGAGACTACACAAGAAGAAACGTGGAAAGCAAATCGAAACAAAGACGCTGAAGAAAAATGCCCACAGAGAGGTAGAGGGAATCTAGATGCTGAGGGTAGTAGTATCCTCTAATGAAAACACACCCCTGAGCTGAGAGGAAAGGACCTCCACTCTTCTCTCCTAGTGGCATGTTCTTGGTGCTGCTAGTGAGTGGGGAACCAAGACACACCCCCAGGAGACAGGAGCTCATCACCTCTCTACAGGAGCTAACCTAAGGTGGAGGCCCACAAAGGTTTCCCAGTGAGATCTGAGCTTGCTTTACCCAGCAGGGCTGCATTAGAGGATTGCTTGACCATGTGTGTAGTTACTAGGTGATTGGAGTGTCTACCCTTGGCTGAGCTAGGGGGAGGTCTTTAGCTCCACCCCTTGGCATTCCTATAATAGCCCTTTACGAGAGACAGGAGGAGCCAGTGGATAGGATTTCAAGCCCTCCCGAGGCTATCCTGTGTTTCTATCTGTTTCTCTCCCCTTTATATTTCTATCTCAGTCTCTTATCCCTCACTCCTCAAGAGTACCCTGGCGTAAAATGTGGGTGCCTGTCTCCCAACTGGCCTCCCAAAACCTAAGAATACAGGGCAGAGTTCATTTTTGGTGTCTTCTTGTAACCAAATCATGTAGACAGAGGTTGGAACTCATCCCTGTCTTCATTTTTCTCTTTGTTTCATTCCCTTTCACCTACCAAAGCTTTCCTTTCTTACTTACAGGGAGATTTAAAAATTGAGCTGACAGAAAAACCTTTTATGTTCTGTGTCTTATCTTTTACATAAAAGAAAAGGAGAAAAATCACTTCATGAGGGTCAGAGTCAAAAAAGCAAATGATGCCAGGCTGTGGCAGTGCACACCTTTAATCCCAGCACTGGGGAGGCAGAGGCAGGTGATCTCTGTGAGTTCGAGGCCAGCCTGGTCTACAAAGCACATTCAGGACAGCCAGAGGGGTTACACAGAGAATCCCTGTCTTGACAAACTAAAAAAAAAGCAAATGATGAAGGCAGCTTGAGAGCAACCACCAGTGTACTCAACACAATACTGGTCATGTCTTGAGCTGTGGCTGTGCACGTAGGCATGGAAGCTGCTGGGTAGAAGGGCTGGAAGAAGTCAGCTTGCTTTTTGTTACTCTTTCATTTTATCCTAACTCTCATCTTTTTGCAGGCAGCCTCATTTCTGCTTTTTCCTTCCACTAAGACCCATAGTGCCCACTAGGTATTTATTCTGCGGTTTGTTAGACCTTAATGCTTTCCAGGCAACTAGATTTGGAACCATGAGAATGGGAATTGGATATTTCTCAGGCTATTTACTGATCCACCTGGCTCCTTCCTGTCATTTCCGTTTCTCCACCTAAATTCTACAATGCTAATTTCTTCAGAGGCAGGTGACCACACAGCTTTTGCAGTGCTAGTACTAAACTCAAACCCATTCTCTTCTTCAGGGCTTGTTGACATTTGAAGATATAGAGATGCATTTTTCTAAGGAGGAATGGTGCTCACTGGATCCTTCTCAGAAGACACTCTACAGTGATGTAATGCTGACCATCTACAAGATGGCCACCTCTCTAGGTAAAGATACCACCGCCTCCCCTTTGTGTATAGGTTGTATAATGTGGCCTGTATTTATAAAAAATGCACGCTATGAGAAAGCCCCTTTTGGACTATAATTGAGTTAGATCGCTTCTTATCTGTTGAATCTGGGAGATCTTTCTATCTTCTGGATTCTGATGGTTTGCCAGATGTTCGGCTTCCAGTTACTTATCTCTGTTAAAATATTGTTTTGTCCTCTTCCCATGGGCTTCTACAGAACAAAAGTTTTTAATTTTAGTGAAGATCAATTTCTCCTGTTGGGAGTATATGGTTTTGCCATGAAGGCTAGAACTCTTAACTCCTTTACCTCTAGATACCTATAAGTTTTCCTAAATCCTTTATTTTGTTTTTTCATACAAGTCCACATTTTTTTGAATTAATTTTATAGGCAATATGAAGTTGAGTTTAAGGCTGATTTTTTTACTTATAGGCATTAGCATTATTCATGGTTCTCTAGAGGAATAGAACTTATAGAGTAGAAGGATGCATACATACATACACATATATATATATATATATATATGTATTGTGTTATATATACATATATGACTTACTTTTATTAGAATGGCTTACAGGCTGTGGTCCTGCTCATTCAAGAATGGCTGTCTGCCAATGGATAGTCTAAGAATCCAACAGTTGTTCGGTCCAATTTGTATACATCCATGGTACTGGATGTCTCAGCGGGTCTTCAGTATACACTGGAATTCCAAAGAAGGGAGCGCTAATGCTGGTGAAGGAATGGACTTGCCAACAAGAATGATAGCAAACAGGCAAAGAGGGCAAGCTTCCTTCTTCCATGCCCTTTATATAGGATGCCAGCAGAAGGTGTGGCCCGGATTAGAGATGGATCTTCACACTGAAAGATCTGGGTTAAAAGTGGTCATTCCATTTCAAATGATTTAATTAAGAAAAACAGTCCCTCACAGGTGTGCCATGTGGGTTTTTGCTAATTCCAGTTGTAATCAGGTTGAAAACTAAGAATAGCCATTACGGTGTCCAATTGCCTCAGCATCATTTATTGAAAGTTCTGCCCTTCCTCCATTGAATTTCTTGTGTGTTTTGTGTGAAAAAGTAGTTGGCAATTTGTGTACATCTGTCCAGCCTGAGTTGTTTGTTTGTCTGTCTGTGACTACTGAACTCTCTTACTGTAGCTGTATAACAAGCCTTCTTATCTATTGTGCAGAATTGTCCCCATGTCGTTCTCCTTTGTCACCATTCTTCTAGCTGTGATGGGAGAGATGGCTCAATGGTCAACAGTACTTGGCTCTTCCGAAGGACCAGAGTTCAGTTCACAGCACCCAAGGTTGCTCACAAACTGCCTGTAACTCCACCTTTTCTGGTCTCCTTGGACACTACACACATGTGGCACTCACACATACGTGAACACACACAAACACAAATACACACACAAACACACACACACAAACACACACACAAAATAAATAAATGAATGAATAAATAAATAAAATCTTTTAAAAAGAAAAGTGCTTTCTAGCTACTGTGTAGCCTGGGCTTTGTATATAAGTTTTATTTTAATTTTAGTAACTCAGAGACACAAACATTTTATAAATATGTGAATTCCAAAAGACTGAAGGTAAGTTTGGAGTAGCTGAAGGGACCCAAGCAATGATGTCACTGTTGAAATCAATAGGGTTTGCTAACATTACTTTAAAATTCTCTATGGAAAATGGAGAATTCTTCCAGCAAATACAAAGTCTTGATTGCACAAAAATGCAATAGCTGACAAACTACCAATCTGTTAAACTTAAGGAATGTACTAAATTATTTCAGTATAGCTCTAAAAATCTCCACATTTTTATAATTGAGTTTACTTGCTTCTAGGTGGGAAAAAAATTTCAAAGTCTGATTTTTCTATGCTATAACAAAAATCTTTGATATGTTTCGACTCTTTTAATAGAATGTTAGTGGCTTAAACTTATTTAAATAACTTTTACATAAATACTAAGCCAATGTATACCTGAAATACATACCCTCTTAGAAGATACAAGAAATGCTGACACTCTATAAGAAGCTTACTCTTTGATTCACATATAAAACAATAAACACTCTGAATATGCTGGTAATGTTTAAAGGACAGGGCTAGTCAGTTTCTCCTGGTGATGATATACACTCACATTCTCATCACATTTTAGAATTTCCATTGTCTTTCATTCTTTTCTTTATTCCTCCTTTCCAGGTGGAATAGCCCTGTGTGGATATGTACTGGTGGCCTGGAGGCTGTTGGTGCTTTTCTCTTTTATAAAGAGATCTAGGCTGGGTGGTGGTTACACATGCTTTTAATCTCAGCACTTGGGAGGCGGAGGCAGGTGGATCTCTACGAGTTCAAAGACAGCCTGGCCTACAGAGTGAGTTCCAGGACAGCGAGAGCTACACAGAGAAACCCTGTCTCAAAATAAATAAATAAATAAATAAATAAAGTAAGAAAGAAAGAAAGGAAGGAAGGAAGAGAGAGAGAGAGAGAAAGAAAGAAAGAAAGAATAAGAGGAGATAATTTTTTATATGTATGTGCTTGTCTGTGTGAATGTTTTTGAGAATGCCCATAGAGGCAAAACAAGGCATTGGACTCCTTGGAACTAGAGGCATCTGTGTGCAGGACTGGGACTGAGGTCTCATGATTGAGCAGCAAGTGCTCTTAACATAGGAGCTATCTCACCATCCCTGGTCCCATCTTTCTGATTATTTGCTCCCAACCTTGTTTGTAAAGCTTTAAGGGATCTTTACTAACATTCTGTTCTAGTTTGTTTTTTTTAAACTTTTTTGTTTCTTTGTTTTGTTTTGTTTGTTTTATGGGTTTTTTTTGTTTTTAATTTTACCAGTCTTTTTTTTTTCTGCCTTTCCATCTTCCTTTCTGTGGTACTTTGAAAGAGAATGGTCCCCATAGGCTCATATGTTTAAATATTTAGCCCCAGGCAGTGCAACTGTTTGAGAAGGTTTAGAAGGTGTGGCCTTGTAGGAGTAGGTGCAGCCTTGTTGGAGGAGGTGAGTCACTGGGGGTGAGCTTTGAGGTTTCAAATGCCCATACTAGGTCCAGTCTCTCCCTCCCTGTCTCTTTCTGTCTCTGTCTCTCTCTGTCTGCATCTGTCTGTGTCTCTCTTTGTCTCTGTCTGTCAGTCACCCTCCATCACTGTCTCCTTCCCTCCCTCACTCCCTTCTTTCCCGTCTCTTCCTCTCTCTCTCCCTCAGGATGTTAAGCTCTCAGCTGCTTCTCCAGCACCATGCCTTTTTGCTCCCCACCATGGTGAGAATGGACTAACCCTCTGAAACTGTAAGCAAGTCCTAGATTAACTGCTTTCTTTTGTAAGAGTCACTGTGACCATGGTGTCTCTTCACAACAATAGAAGAGTGACTAAGACACTTTGCCTCCTTTTGTACAATTTTCAGTTCAGATACATGTAAATCTTTCTGGAAACCTGGAACTTTCAGCAGCTGCAGTAGTTTCCATTTCTCTTTCCTTAAGCTCCTTGTCAATTCTCAGCAATTCTTCCTGTTCATTTCTTTAGCAAGATGTAACTTTCTAGAATAAAATGCACTGAACACTTTCTGTTGCTTTCTTTTCTTACTTTAACTGGGACACATTTTGTAGAAATTTCTGCTGAGTTTTATCCAAGCTTCAACTGTATCTTTCTGTTGCTTTCTTTGTTCATTTTGCTTTTGATCATCTTCCAAGTTATTGGTAAAAATACATTGTATCTTTTCTTTAAGGTGTTTTTGTGTTTTTGCTGCAGTTTGGTTTTCCAATTCTGAATGGACTTTTTCCTTTCTTCTCTAGACAGAAACTGTAGGCAGCATTTATCATCCTCTGTTTTTCCAGGGTGGTACCCTAGAACTTCTCCCATGAATTCTGGCTTCCCTTGATAGTTTTTTCCCTTTACCTTCACAAAGTAATAGCAGTCATAATAATCCCAAGCCCGTGTGCTCCACCCATTGCCTAAAAAAAATTTTTCAAAATTGACACTTCTTCCAGAAGACTACTGGGTGTGCCTTTGCTGGAGGTCTCCCTGAAATCTTTCTCTGTTCTAAATTATTTAGAACTCATGGGCCAATTTTTCTTGGTTTGGCACTTGCCTTACTTAGGATTTCTATTGCTTATGGTAAGCATCATAACCAAATGGCACTTAGGGAGGAAAGGGCTTACCTCATCTTACATTTCAGTGAAGTCAGGGCAGGAGCTCAAGCAGGGCAGGAACCTGGAGGCAGGAGCTGAAGCAGAGACCATGGAGGAGTGCTGCTCACAGGCTTGCTCTGCTTGCTATCTTATGTACCTTAAGTTCATGTGACCAGGGGTGGCATTGCCCATAGTGGGCTGGACCCTCCCACATAAACCACTAATCAAGAAAATTCCATAGAGATTTGCCTATTGGCAACCTGATGGAGGCGTTTTCTCAATTGATTTTTCTCCTCCCAGATAACTCTAGCCTGTGTCAAGTTGATAAAAACCCAACCAGGACAGTGTTCAAGTCTTTATTAGTTATTGTTGTTGTCTTTTTACCTTTAGCAAGCTATTTATATATCAACCATTGTGCTTTTTTAAAAATGTTTTTTACATTTATAATTACTTGTTTAGGTTTTCTGAGCTTTGCAATAAAATGTGGTGTAGGTGTCCATCATTTATCTGATGTTAAAGTTTCTGCACATTGCTGTGTGTTTTATCCACTTCCTGTTAGAACTATGCGTCCCGTTTTCCTGCTGTTCATCAATTTGTTTTCTAGGATTCCATACTGTGCTTAGTTCTCAAGTCCTTTTTGTGTCTGAGAGATGCTCAGTTGATAAAGTGTTTGACACACCAGGATGAGGACCTGAGTTAGATCCCCACACATAAAAAAGTCAGGTATGATGGCATGAATTTGTATTAACAGCACCAGGGAGGTGGAGATGAGAGGATCTCCAGGGCTCACTGACCAGCCAACCTCATTTTCTTGGTGAGCTCCAGAGTCAGCAAAGGATCCTGTCTTAAAATCCACAAGGGGGATGACCACGAAGGGTTACCTTTTATCTGGCACACACACACACACACACACACACACACACACACACACACACACACACACACACACCAAAGCAAAGTACTGCCTTTACTTTTTATGGTAATAACTTGATCTTTAAATATTTCCTGTTGTGCATATGAATTGGGCTGTTCTGAATTTCTGCTTCTGCTTTGAGGATGAAAAGACAAGCTCTACCTGACAAGAACTACTACACAGCCAGCATAGTGATGTGGTAGTGGTGCCACTCTCATTCTGTTTCTGGTGGTCTCACCAGATTCAGCCTCCCATACAGCTGCAGCAGTGGCCACTGCTCCCACCATGGCTGTCCTAGAGGACAGGCTTACTCACTAAACTCCCCTGCTGTGACAGTTATGCCAGGGGGGTTGCTCCCTTGTCTCTGAAGACTGCTCCCTAATAAGGTGGGAGGGGCAAGTGTAAATTCTACAGTAAGTTTAGTTAGGCCTCTAAGACATTTGATTGAGATTTCACTAAAAATTTCATTAAACATATAAATTTGTTTGAAGAGCATTGATACCTTCAGTGTGATGTCTCCTCTGATCCCTGAATGTGATGTATCTCAGTGTAGGTGTTCATTGATTTCTGTCATCAACTTTTAATCATTTTCAGTGTGTAGATACTCTTCATATTTTGTGAAATATGTGCCTCAGCTTTTCCCATTGCAACAACAGCAAGGATGCCAGTTTTAATTTCGATTTCCTCATTACATCACTTTATAAATGAATGCGTGGACTTTTATTTTTGGATCTTGTATCTTGTAATCAGAGTGAACTCCCTACAAGTACTTGTAGTTTTAGATTTCTTTTTTTTTTTTTTTTTTTTTTTTTTTTTTGGTTTTTTGAGACAGGGTTTCTCTGTGTAGCTTTGCGCCTTTCCTGGGACTCACTTGGTAGCCCAGGCTGGCCTCGAACTCACAGAGATCCACCTGGCTCTGCCTCCCAAGTGCTGGGATTAAAGGCGTGCGCCACCACCGCCCGGCTAGTTTTAGATTTCTTGGGCAACCTCAGGATTTTCCTTGTAAGCAACCATCCACAATGCCTTTTATTTTTTTGTCTTGACTTATTGCATTAACTTCAACTTCCTGTATTTAGTATGGGGGTTTTGTTGCTTTTTTACAAAGTTGATCAAATTTTCTACGTTTATGAGTGGTTTTTTTTTTTTTATCCTGAATGGATGTGTGATTTTTGTCATATACTTTTTTGTGAATTAATAGGAGCATTTGAATTTCATTTCTTTTCATCATTTAAGACAGAGTCTCACTGTGTGTCTCAGGCTGGGCTTGAACTCGTGATTCTCTTCTTTTCATCTCCAGAGTTCTGGTGTTCCGAGTATATGCAGTCACGCCACACTTATCTTTCTGTAGTGTCTTAGTTTTGCAGCACACACACACACACACACACACACACACACAGAGAGAGAGAGAGAGAGAGACAGAGACAGAGACAGAGACAGAGACAGAAAGAGAGCCTGCCTGACTTGGATTTTGAAACCTCAAAGCCCACCTCCAGTAACACTTCTCCTTCCTAATCGTTCTTAAACAGTTTTGCTCCCTGGTGTCAAAGCAGTCTAATATATGAGCCTGTGGGGGAGATTCTCATTCAGACCACTGCATGCCCTCTATTCCTTTCTTCCGGGAGGGCAATTTGAGACAGAGTTGTGCAGTGTGGCCCATTATGCTCATGAGTCTCCCTCCGAGTGTCTCCCTGGTGCTGAGATTACAGTCTTGTACAACAAAGCCTGCGTGGATTTTGTGCTTCTTGTTAGTCCTTTGGGTCTTGTAGTTTGTCTTGTCGGTCTTAGTAGTGACTTACTACTCCTGTTAATGTGTTTTGAAAAGTAGCATTTTATTTGATTATGATGTCCATTTCCTTGTTAGACTTTCATCTGCTCACATTGGTTAAGGCCTAATTTGCTTTTTGCAAGTTTCTTGAGGAGGGAACTTAAAGATTATTACCTTGTGAACTTCCTTTTCTAGTGTAAGCACTTAAGGCTAGATGTATTCCTTGGCCGCTTCCTTAACTGTACTCTGTATTTGGATGGAGTTTGACTTCATTTTCCTTCAGATCTCAGTATATTACAGTTTCTTTTGAGGGGCTTCTTTAAACCACACATTCTTTGTAAGCATACTGCTTCTGTGTCTCTAAGTTTTACCGTTTCTGGTTTTGCTTTCTAGTTTGTTTACACCTTTGTCAGATTTGCCCTTCACCCATGTTACAATTTTCTTAGTTCTTAGTCAGATAAGTGACTTTTCATTACATTCTGATAGTTTTATCTATTACGATAAGAGAGAGAGCTCCGGTCCTATTTATGTATGCTATTTTAGCAGACACCCACCCTGCCTAAGTTTAACATGTAGGGTGTTAGTTACGTTTATGTGGCTTTCTTACAATGAATTTGTTTTCAGAGGCTTTGTGGCACTAATTTTGTATCTTTTGGTTCCTCCAATACTGCTAGATCTACCATGGGTTCTGGATGATGCTGTCGGAGGGCCCGCGTTTCCCTGGGCCAGATATCTCACCGTGGAAGGGCAATCTCCACATAGGGAGGAAAAGGCTTCCTAAGCCAGGTCACTGGTTAGAGCTGAGTCTCTCCTGCTGGTTCTGCTTCTTCACTTTCAGGGCTCTTGTGGAAAGAAAATATCCCATGCCTGCAATGTTAATGATACTTCTTGTTCATTGGCCTTTTTGCAACACCAGCTCTCTAGATGAAGTTGTTTATTTTATATTTATGTTATTATCTCTCAGCTTCTTATGGGAAGTTTCCATGCTGGGGTGGAATGCAAGTACACTCCCCAGTCTGCTTATTGTGACAGGTACCAGGAGGGTCCTTTTCTGAGTTGTGTCTGGTTTGCATGATATCTGTCTTTAAACGGTTTCACACTCAGTCTGAGAAAGGGGTGAGTCTGTCTAGGCAGTCTTCTGCAGATAGTTTTGGGGTTGGAAAATACTGGGTTTGAGATTCTGCTTTCTTCTGGGAGTTTGGGTGTGTTATCACTTGCTGTGTTTTGTTTGTTTGTTATCTCTTTCTGAAATTCTTGAGTCCTAGACCTTTTTGCCATCTTTCCACTTTTTTTAATTTCCTTTTGTAACGTCCGGCACCATTGAGTGGGCTTTTTGCTGTACCTAGCAGAGTGGATCAAGGGACTATGGATCTATACCATTTTTCCAGCCTGGGCCACAAACACTAGTTTATGTATTTCTTTAAAGTTATTGTTATCGACCATCCTCTCTAGTCCTTTACATTTTCTTTTCTTTCTTTTTTTTTTAATTTATTTATTTATTATGTATACAGTGAGTGTTATGTCTGCAGGCCAGAAGAGGGCACCAGATCTTATTGTAGATGGTTGTGAGCCACCATGTGGTTGCTGGGAATTGAACTCAAGACCTCTGGAAGAACAGCCAGTGTTCTTAAGCTCTGAGCCATCTCTCCAGCCCCTACATTTTCTTTTCTATGAAACACCTGACTGATGTTTTTCTTTATATGAACAGGGTTAAAGCCTGGAGATGACATGGGAAATGATCAGCCTGTATCTGCCTCTACATCAGAAATAGAAGCAAGACCATCAAAGGTATCAAAGGCCAGAAAGAAAGCTGCCCAGAAAAAAACCAACAGGAAAAGCCATGCAGAGACACGCAGGGTGCAGGAACATGATCAGGCTCTTCCAGGGAGGAAAAGAACGTCAGCTTCAGTTTGTAAACAACGGCAACAAAAACTTTATAAATGTCAGGAGTGTGGGAGAGGCTTCAGAGTTCCTTCTTTGCTTGCTAGGCACCATAGAGTTCACACCAGAGAGAAGCCTTTTTCATGTCAGCAGTGTGACCATAGCTTCAGGTGGAAGTCAGATCTCAAAATCCATATCCTGTCACACCAAGGAATAAAGCTATATAAGTGCTCCTGGTGCCAGAAAAGCTTTACTCATAACACAAACTTACATACACACCGAAGAATTCATACAGGAGAGAAACCCTTTAAGTGTCTGGAATGTGGGAAAGCATTCACTCAGAAATCTCATCTCCTCAACCACCAGGTAGTCCACACTGCTGAGCAGCCCTATGCATGTAGCCTGTGTGAGAGAAAGTTTAACAGGAAGTCAAGCCTTCTCAGACACCAGAACATACATGGTCAGGTAAACAGCTAGAGCTGCCAGTCAGAGGGAAATCGGCACAGAGCAGTGACAGACTGTAGAGAAGATTAGGAGTTTCCCAGTAAGCATCTGTTGTGAAAAGGAAATTTGGGAGAGCTATGTTTCGTAGCACAGAAAGGAGTCTACATTGCTCCCCACTCCCAGCACTTAGTTTTCAGTGTTTGCCACAAAATTGCCATTACTCGATACGTTGTGAATAAAGAATGCAAACTTGGTTGTCACCGTGTCTGTAGTTATGTTTTCTCTAACTCTATCCTCGGGTGTCAGGTACCATGAACCCTGCACTCATTCTTCGAACTTCCTCAGAGGAGACATAAAACGCCATTGCAGCCCCTGTGAAGTGAGTTCACAGAGAATTGCTATGTGAGAGACATCCTCAGCACCTCTGACTTTAGTCTCCATAGACACCCAAGCTCGAGAATCAGGGACTTATGAACAGGAAGTGAGGGTTAGTGTTTTCCCTAGCGTAAGTGTTCCCAATGTCGTTGTCCTCCCGAGTTCTTACTTCTATTGTCTCCTTTTAAGAAGTTTGGGGAGCAAGAGAAGACCCGAGAGCCAACACAAACCTAAGAATCTTATAAGTATTTGCACTCTTCTTGCAATTCTCTGTGTGCAGTTCTCCGTGTGCACAGTTCTCTGTGTGTGCAGAGTTCACTCTGTGTGTGCACAGTTCTCTCTGTGTGCACAGTTCTCTGTGTGTACACAGTTCTCTGTGTGCACAGTTCTCTGTGTTTGCAGAGTCCTCTCTGTGCACAGTTCTCTCTGTGTGCACAGTTCTCTGTGTGCAGTTCTCCGTGTGCACAGTTCTCTGTGTGCAGTTCTCCGTGTGCACAGTTCTCTGTGTGCACAGTTCTCTCTGTGTGTGCACAGTTCTCTCTGTGTGTGCACAGTTCTCTCTGTGTGCACAGTTCTCTCTGTGTGCACAGTCCTCTGTGTGCACAGTTCTCTCTGTGTGCACAGTTCTCTCTGTGTGCACAGTTCTCTCTGTATGCACAGTTCTCTGTGTGTGTACAGTTCTCTGTGTGTGCACAGTCCTCTGTTTGCACAGTTCTCTCTGTGTGCACAGTTCTCTGTGTGCACAGTTCTTTCTGGGTGCACAATTATCTGTGTGTGCAACAGTTCTCTGTGTATGCACAGTTCTCTATGTGTACACAGTTCTCTGTGTGTGTACAGTTCTCTGTGTGCACAACTCTCTCTGTGTGTACAGTTCTCTGTGTGTACAGTCCTCCGTGTGTGCACAGTCCTCTCTGCGTGTGGACAGTTCTCTCTGTGTGTGCACAGTTCTCTGTGTGCACAGTTCTCTCTGTGCTCAGTTCTATGTGTGCACAGTTCTCTCTGTGTGCTCAGTTCTCTGTGTGTGTACAGTTCTCTGTGTATACACAGTTTTTTGTGTGTGCACAGTCCTCTGCACAGTTCTCTCTGTGTGCACAGTTCTCTGTGTGTGCACAGTTCTCTCTATGTGCACAGTTCTCTGTGTGTACACAGTTCTCTGTGTATGTACAGTTCTCTGTGTGTGCACAGTTCTCTGTGTGCACAGTTCTCTGTGTGTACATTTCTCTCTGTGTGCACAGTTCTCTCTGTGTGCACAGTTCTCTGTGTGTGCACTGTTCTCTGTGTGTGCACAGTTCTCTGTGTGTGCACAGTTCTCTCTGTACACAGTTCTCTGTGTGTACACAGTTCTCTGTGTGTGTACAGTTCTCTGTGCAGAGTTCTCTGTGTGCACAGTTCTCTGTGTGCACAGTTCTCTGTACATTTCTCTCTGTGTGCACAGTTCTCTGTGTGTGCACAGTCCTCTGTGTGCACAGTTTTCTGTGTGTACACAGTTCTCTCTGTGTGCACAGTTTTCTCTGTGTGCACAGTTCTCTATGTGCACAGTTCTCTGTGCGCACAGTTCTCTGTGTGTGCACAGTTCTCTCTGTGGCACAGTTCTCTGTGTGTGCACAGTTCTCTGTGTGTGCACAGTCCTCTGTGTGCACAGCTTTCTCTCTGTGTACAGTTCTCTGTGTGCACAGTTCTGTGTGTGTGCACAGTTCTCTGTGTGCACTGTACTCTCTGTGTTTGTACAGTTCTCTGTGTGCACAGTTCTCTGTGTGTGCATAGTTCTCTCTGTGTTCACAGTTCTCTGTGTGCACAGTTCTCTGTGTGTGCACAGTTCTCTCTGTGTGTACAGTCCTCTGTGTGCACAGTACTCTGTGTGCACAGTTCTCTGTGTGTGTACAGTTCTCTGTGTGCACAGTCCTCTGTGTGTGCACAGTCCTCTCTGTGTGTGCACAGTTCTCTCTGTGTGTGCACAGTTCTCTGTGTGCACAGTTCTCTCTGTGCTCAGTTCTATGTGTGCACAGTTCTCTCTGTGTGCTCAGTTCTCTGTGTGTGTACAGTTCTCTGTGTATACACAGTTCTTTGTGTGTGCACAGTCCTCTGCACAGTTCTCTCTGTGTGCACAGTTCTCTGTGTGTGCACAGTTCTCTCTATGTGCACAGTTCTCTGTGTGTGCACAGTTCTCTGTGTGTACACAGTTCTCTGTGTGTGTACAGTTCTCTGTGCACAGTTCTCTGTATGCACTGTACTCTCTGTGTGTGTCCAGTTCTCTGTGTGCACAGTTCTCTGTGTGTGCACAGTTCTCTCTGTGTACACAGTTCTCTCTGTGTGCACAGTTCTCTGTGTGTGCACTTTTCTCTCTGTGTGCACAGTTCTCTGTGTGTGCACTTTTCTCTCTGTGTGCACAGTTTTCTGTGTTCACAGTTCTCTGTGTGTGCATAGTTCTCTCTGTGTTCACAGTTCTCTGTGTGCACAGTTCTCTGTGTGTGTACAGTTCTCTGTGTGTGTACAGTCCTCTGTGTGCACAGTTCTCTGTGTGCACAGTTCTCTGTGTGCACAGTTCTTTCTGGGTGCACAATTATCTGTGTGTGGAACAGTTCTCTGTGTATGCACAGTTCTCTATGTGTACACAGTTCTCTGTGTGCACAGTCCTCTGTGTGTGCACAGTCCTCTCTGTGTGTGCACAGTTCTCTCTGTGTGTGCACAGTTCTCTGTGTGTACAGTTCTCTGTGTGCACAGTCCTCTGTGTGTGCACAGTCCTCTCTGCGTGTGCACAGTTCTCTCTGTGTGTGCACAGTTCTCTGTGTGCACAGTTCTCTCTGTGCTCAGTTCTATGTGTGCACAGTTCTCTCTGTGTGCTCAGTTCTCTGTGTATGTACAGTTCTCTGTGTATACACAGTTCTTTGTGTGTGCACAGTCCTCTGCACAGTTCTCTTTGTGCACAGTTCTCTGTGTGTGCACAGTTCTCTCTATGTGCACAGTTCTCTGTGTGTACACAGTTCTCTGTGTGTGTACAGTTCTCTGTGTGTGCACAGTTCTCTGTCTGCACAGTTCTTTGTGTGTACATTTCTCTCTGTGTGCACAGTTCTCTCTGTGTGCACAGTCCTCTGTGTGCAGAGTTCTCTCTGTGTGCACAGTTCTCTGTGTGTGCTCAGAGCTCTCTGTGTGCACAGTCCTCTGTGTGCACAGTTCTCTCTGTGTGCACAGTTCTCTGTGTGTACACAGTCCTCTGTGTGCACAGATCTCTGAGTGTGCACAGTTCTCTGTGTATGCATAGTTCTCTGTGTGTGCACAGTTCTCTATGTGCACAGTTCTCTGTGTGCACAGTTCCCTGTGTGTGCACAGTTCTCTCTGTGGCACAGTTCTCTCTGTGGCACAGTTCTCTGTGTGTGCACAGTTCTCTGTGTGTGCACAGTCCTCGGTGTGCACAGTTTTCTCTCTGTGTACAGTTCTCTGTGTGCACAGTTCTCTGTGTGTGCACAGTTCTCTGTGTGCACTGTTCTCTCTGTGTGTGTACAGTTCTCTGTGTGCACAGTTCTCTGTGTGTGCACAGTTCTCTCTGTGTACACAGTTCTCTCTGTGTGCACAGTTCTCTGTGTGTGCATAGTTCTCTGTGTGCACAGTTCTCTGTGTGTGCACAGTTCTCTGTGTGTACACAGTCCTCTGTGTGCACATATCTCTGTGTGTGCACAGTTCTCTGTGTATGCATAGTTCTCTGTGTGTGCACAGTTCTCTATGTGCACAGTTCTCTGTGTGCACAGTTCTCTGTGTGAGCACAATTCTCTCTGTGGCACAGTTTTCTCTGTGGCACAGTTCTCTGTGTGTGCACAGTTCTCTGTGTGTGCACAGTCCTCTGTGTGCACAGTTTTCTCTGTGTGTACAGTTCTCTGTGTGCACAGTTCTCTGTGTGTGCACAGTTCTCTGTGTGCACTGTTCTCTCTGTGTGTGTACAGTTCTCTGTGTGCACAGTTCTCTGTTTGTGCACAGTTCTCTGTGTGTACACAGTTCTCTGTGTGCACAGTTCTCTGTGTGTGCACTTTTCTCTCTGTGTGCACAGTTTTCTGTGTGCACAGTTCTCTGTGTGTGCATAGTTCTCTGTGTGCACAGTTCTCTGTGTGTGCACAGTTCTCTCTGTGTGCACAGTTCTCTGTGTGTGCACTTTTCTCTCTGTGTGCACAGTTTTCTGTGTGCACAGTTCTCTGTGTGTGCATAGTTCTCTCTGTGTTTACAGTTCTCTGTGTGCACAGTTCTCTGTGTGTGCACAGTTCTCTGTGTGTGCACAGTTCTCTGTGTGCACAGTCCTCTGTGTGTGCACAGTCCTCTCTGTGTGTGCAAAGTTCTCTTGTGTGCACAGTTCTCTCTGTGTGTGTACAGTTCTCTCTGTGTGTACAGTTCTCTCTGTGTGCACAGTTCTGTGTGTGCACAGTTCTCTGTATGCACAGTTCTCTGTGTGTGCACAGTTCTCTGTGTGTTCACAGTTCTCTCTGTGTGCACAGTCCTCTGTGTGTGCACAGTTCTCTGTGTGCAGGGTTCTCTCTGTGTGCACAGTTCTCTCTGTGTGCACAGTTCTCTGTGTGCATATTTCTCTCTGTGTGCACAGTTCTCTGTGTGCACAGTTCTCTCTGTGTGCACAGTTCTCTCTGTGTGCACAGTTCTCTGTGTGTGCATAGTTCTCT